GGGGCCTATTGTAGATACCGATGATCTTATCGAGGCGCTTAATTCGGAAACTATCAAGGGTGCGGCGCTTGATGTCACTGATCCTGAGCCTTTGCCTGACCAGCATCCACTGTGGAGTGCGAAGAATGTGACTATTACGCCACATATCAGTGCTGCTTCCTCGTTTTACTATACGAGGCTGTTGGATATTTTTAGATTGAACCTTGAGAGGCTCAGCCAAGGACGAAACGATTTCATCAACAAAGTCAACCGGAAGGAAGGGTATTAGAGGTTTTCGAACGAAGATCTGAGAAACCATTGAATGTGTTTCGGTTTCCTATCTTCTATATGGGAAAGAAACCGATATTGGAAATAAAGACATACATCATCCAGAGAAAGTAGGAGTGATATTGAGCTACACGTTTACTGAACCATCTTCGTTTCCATCAATACTCTGATCTTCTGCACCTCAGCAGACCCATACGTTTCCTCCAGCATCTCCATGACTCCCAATGCAGTGATCTCTGGATCCCACATATCCTTAACAATCACAGCACTGACGTCCGAAAATTGCACGAATTCCTTTACGATATCGGCCCAACGTGCAGTTCCTTCAGGGTTGATATCGTAGTATTCAATCCATCCCCTCCGCTTTGCATCACGAAGATGACGAAGAACAGCCAGCCATGGTGTAACTGATTGATGTGTGATGAAGTGTTTGTAATCATGATTGGGACCTGGATTGATGCGTGATGGGTTGTTGAGAAGCCAGTGGACGAGCTTGGGTGATGACATGGGGAAGATGGTCTTGTTACGAGAGCAGAGAAATTCTGTCGCGTAGGAAAGTAAAGGTGTAGACCCGTCCTCTTCCTCTTCCACGTCTTGTTTTTCACGACTAAGATCCTCAACTTCCTGACAGACATAATCTGCCAGACCAAACTTGGCAGCAAGGCACAAAAAGGGCCGATGAATAGGAGGCGCTTTCATCCTGATCTCATAAGCTCCAAATGTACTCTTTGCCCAGTGATCATAAGGATCAGTCGGCTTCTCAAGCCAGAGCCAAGAAAGAGCCTTATCCATCTCGTTCAAGAACTTTCGCTGAAGGCCTTGGGGATCGTTGATGATATATCGTGCATGTGTCATGGCGAGTGCAATATCAGGATACCACTCGTCTAGACGCCGATGATGCTCTATTTCTTCGAGAGGATGCTTCAAACGAAGGATATATGATCTCAGAAGTCGAAGATGAGGGTCAAAATCTGTGGACAGGAGTGCTTCGAGACGTTTTCCTGCTCCGCCATCCATGAGCCAGTCTCGAACTGTACGGTGTATATAGATGACTTTGCTCGTTGTGATGAGACTTGCAACGCTGGCATGCCTGTCCTGAAATTTTGGTACACGCATATTGCCCAGCGGCTTGGCAACGTGGACATTCAACAACCTTGCGAAGCGAGCTTGGATATACTGTACTGCCGTTCCGCACCGTCTCTGAATTTCTTCATCCGTCGCTTCCACCACTTCGCGATCGAGAGCCATAGCATCGTCCTCTTTGAAAAGCGCAAATGCGAATTCCCAGACTGTCAGTGAGTTGGAGGACTCATCTTTAATAAAGTCCGCGGCAATTTCTCTGGCACGCATGAGCTGGAACAGAGTGGCAGTCTGCATGACCTCCGAAGATGTCTGATCCTTGAACAGAAGCTTTTCGAAGAGATCATCAAGTTCTGTAGGAAGTTCTTTCAGAGCTTGCTCCAGAACTTCGAACTTGGTGTTAGTCTGAAATGTTACGAGCATACGCTCAACTGCGAGTCTGACCCATAAGAAAACACCATTGGCCTGTTCAACCACCGCAGTGATTAACATATGACTCGACTCCGAATTCTGCTTCATCATTCTTCGAATATGGTCATTCGATCTGAGTGTATCTGTTGCATAGCGGTACATGTCGTCGTAGCTCAGATCCTGAAGCTTTGTATTTGGAACAGACGTTTCGAATGCCTTTTCAAAGACATCCCATGGCCGAGATGAGAGACAGAGTTTGAGTGACTTTCCATCATATCTGGATGTCAAGTCCTTGAAGAAGTTTATGATTTGGACATGATCGCCATCAAACTCATCAAGACCATCGATGAAGAGGCAGATGTTCACACTAGGCAAGGCCGCGTCGAGAAGAGAGTGGAAGGCAGCTTGTAAATCTTGGACAGTCCATTCCAGAGCAAAGTTGACACGTTCCTTGGTCGTCATATGACGCAAGCGACTCCAGAGATCAGGAAATGCCTTTTCAATGAGCTCTGGATCAAAAGACAGTAGCTGATGTAGGAGGTATCGCAGCAGGCCAGTTTGCGACCTCTGCTGCTGAGATCCACTGGTCCAGAAGAAGAAGCCCGCTGTATTGACTCTCTTCTTCCCGCCCCATCTGCGAAGGTGATACAGCGCAACTGGATGCTGGGAGAGGTATCTCACGAGAGTAGATTTACCAGACCCGGGCTTTCCAGTGATCCAGTAGATAGGACCCAGCTCCGTGGTGCCGAGCCATGAGACGAAGCTGTCTCTGAAGTTCTGACGCAGAGACTGGTCGATGGGCGAATTGTCAAAGATCCAATCAAGAGTCTTGGCGTGAGCTTCGGTGACTTGACTCTCGCGATCGTGCATAGATTTGTATGACAGACTCTCGAGAATGAAGTCATTGACGAGGCCGACGGGAGCTAGCCTCGGGGGTCTCGGAACAACCGGGATCTGCCCGGGAGACTTGCCAGCATCATCTTGAGCAGTTGTTTCCGTGTGCTCAATTAAACTCTTCGTCTCAGTCTCATCAGACTCAAGCTCACGGCCTGTGAGCTGTAAATCAGCGAACAAGGATAGACAGAGTTCACTAGCAGCAACACGTTAGCGCACCGTTAGCTCCTGGAGAGCAACCAGTAAAGTCAACTAAACTCACTGTGATGACGGAAATGTGTCTTGGCATTGATGCAACACTTGACGGAGCCGTGCATTCAGCGCCGTGACATCGTCCAGGGGCCAGAGCTTGCAGAAGCCAGCGACATCAATTGAATCACTGAACGCGTTCAAGACACGGTTGACGTGGACGACGAGGTCATTACCAATCTGAACACAGGCAAACCTGATCTGAGCTTTCTCGTATTCTCCCTCTTCACCCTCAAGACGCTTCACCGAATGCGTCAAACCCTCGAGTAAGCGAGTAAAGTCGGTATCACAGCGATCTGTATATCCCAGACTGTGTATCCCTCGCACAGCATGGCACACATCAACAGCCCTAGCGAGGAATTCAGATACAGTGTCAACGTTAGCGTCTGCAGCCATTTTATAAGCTTGTAATGGTGCAGCTAGCGGGTTTAATTTATTAAACTATTATGCAAAAGTCCTGTCAATCTTCTCTTCTAGGCATGTGAATTTCACAAAGATTGAAGTTTAAAAATAAAAAGAGAGGTTGGAATGGAATGTGAGATTGGAATGAGGGGTTTAAATACGGTCTCATGTTGGTCACGCGTAAGCAATCATCCCTGTAGCTTCTCTACTATCACATTGCATTGAAACAGGCTGAATTAGCTATCGAGTGCCGGTCTGTGAAACAATTGGTTATAGCGTCCTACAAGGTTCACAGCCCGTACCACGCTTATCAAAAGCGTCCGTTTCGAAACGTCGTATAAGAAACGCCACTCTCCCTGCCAATTTTCACCATCGTCATCGAACAACACCAACAAAATGTCTTCTCTTTCTATCTTCATGGGAATTCTCTCCCTGTCAACATTCACACTCGCGGCGGGCAATACACCTGGTCTTCCTCTTGTTATTAATACATGGGGTGGCGATTTCACCGCCGCTACGGATGCGGCCTTCACAGCGCTGGGGAAGAAGGCTTCTGCACTTGACGCGGTTGAAATTGGAGGTACGACGTGCGAGAACAAGCAGTGCGATGGGAGTGTAGGCTTTGGAGGAAGTCCTGATGAGAACTGTGAAACTACACTTGATGCGATGATCATGGATGGTGGGAGTATGAATTCTGGTGCTGTTGCTGCTCTGCGTCGCGTCAAGGGTGCGATTTCTGTTGCTCGACATGTTCTCGATCATACTACCCATTCTCTCATCGTTGGAGACCAAGCTACAGAGTTCGCTGTCCAAAATGGCTTCAAGACCACAAGCCTGTCGACCAAAAACTCGGATAAGTTGTGCAAGGATTGGAAGGCCAAGAAGTGCCAGCCCAACTATCGTATCAACGTCAGCCCAAACCCAGCATCAACATGCGGTCCCTACAAGCCTCTCGCTACCCTCACAACAAGCACCATGAAGACTAATAAACAAACCGGCCACGACACCCTCTCTCTCATCACAATCCACAAAGACGGCTCCATGGCTGCAGGAACAACAACAAACGGCGCCTCCCACAAGATCCCCGGACGCGTCGGCGACGGCCCCATCGTTGGCAGCGGCTCTTATGTCGACAGCGACATTGGCGGCTGCGGAGCCACAGGTGATGGCGACATCATGCTTCGCTTCCTGCCTTGCTACCAAGCCATTGAAGGCATGCGAAACGGCCTCTCACCGAAAGAAGCAGCCGAGGATGCAGTTCTCCGCATGGTTCGCAAATACGGCGATCTCAAGAGCGGCATCGTTGTCGTGGATCGTTACGGAAACCACGGCGCTGCATGCAGTGGGTGGAATTTCCAGTACAGCTACAGAGGAGGAAAGATGACCAAGACAAAGGTCGTCACTGTGAAGCCGGTGCAGGAGGTACGTCTTGACTTGTAGCCTTGACGAATTATGAATGTGGTTGACAAAGTCTTAGGTTTAACGAGCATCGAGCGTAACAGCATGTTTGTATTTTAGTTGTATCAACCGACAACAGTTATGCCTTTGTCTTTAGTAGCGATTTAGATATCCAAAAACAAAAATGGAGAACGATTGTTATGTTTTTGCCCTTGATCCATGTGATATCTCTTCATGTTGGTGCAACTGACTTGATTGATATGTCGTCAAAGTAGAACCCACAGCCTTGATCTACCATTTCACAGCCCATCATCAAGTCGAAAAGGAACAGACCATCTCTGCATCACGGTTAGTCCGGCCCTTCACGATATTGGAATCACGTACCGTGTCGTGAGGTCTCGAAGAATCGACAAACCTCAAATCCGTTCCGAGTCGAATTCGGTTCTCAGGATCCTCATTAATAGTTGAAGCGTGAATCTATAAGAAAGTTAGCAAAATTTCGTCTCAGTATCTAAGGCACGCACCATATGTGGTTTGTGAAAAACAACATCGCCAGCTTGATACTCTGTCAAAAGCCATCTTCCGCCTCCGTTGTCTTGTAGAAATTTGATGGGACCCAGTTCTAAGAAACCGCTGGACATCATGTTTTTGTTGAATGCGTTAATGCGTTCCTCTTCAGTCATACCGCCCTCCCTCGCCTTTTTGTTGAAGGCATCTTCCAATGTTCGACCCAGAGTGTCGCCTTTGACGGTCAGCTTGGGGATATTCAAAGCCTTGGAGGAACACTTACTACCTTCGAGGTATATCAGCCCACCGCCTTGAAGGCTGATATCACCGATTGGTACCCAAGCTGTCACTGAAGTAGGCTCTCCATATCTCAGAAATGATTGATCATAATGCACTCCAATTGCATTGTTATGCGGCGTATTATTTCTCAACAAAGACCTTGGGAGTAACTTTGTATCATCGCCCCAGCCTTTCAGCCTGGAAATGAAATCTCTGAGGGCTGGGTGTCTCGAAAACTCAAGGTAAAAGCCCTCTGTATGAGCTTTCTCCGCAAGGCTCGCGAATGAACCTGGGTTGATCTGCTCTTTACCGAAAGGGCCAGCGCCAATACTGGGATAGTTGACGCCCTCGTTATCAGGATCGAATATACCATCAACGGGAGCCGAATTGGGTTGCAGAACACCACTCGGACTGAGGAAATGGAAGTACGCTTCCCGACAATCAAGAACGTCAGAGCGGGGGAGGAGACCTTTCATGAACAGATAGCCATCCTCTTCATAGCGGGCTCTCAGGTCTGCGATCGGCTCAGATGGGTAGGACTGTTTGAGCTTCCCAACCATGCCAGGCTCAAGAAGTCCATCATTGACGAGATAGCCTTCTCTGGGAGCATGCTGAGCAGTCTGTGTCGCAGTCTGGGTCATATTGCAAGGAATCAGTCTGGCAGCGATTGAATTGACATGAAGTGGTTAGACATTCGAGGGAGGTCGTCATTTTATCACTTACATGAAGAGGACACAGGTTCATGATTGGCAGCCACTTACACACATGGAAAATGTTTCCGACAACAGATCTTAGTTCCTTGCCAAAAACAGTAAGATTCCGGCGAGAAACTACCCAGTTAGACATGCTATCGGGGCAGCTGGACATAATATGCAGCCACAGAGTTGCGGGGTGCAGGGCTAGTGGAGGCGTGCAATCATGAACACCATCAAATAAGGGTAAGATTGACAGTTCTACGGGAAATCTATCTTTGAAGAAAGAGGAAGGGGAATGTTGACCGAGTGTGCTGAAAGAAGAAACTGCTTAGTTGGGGCGGCTCCAATGCCCTACAATGAGGATGGCTTAGTACTGATGTCAAGTAGAGGGGCACGCACTTCACATGACGAAGGGTAATGATGGACGTGAGGTCTACGTTTATGACGAAGTTGCAAAGCAGAAAACGACGCTGCCAACTGGGGATATAATATTCTCTATTGACTATCATCCACATCACCCTACTAACCACCTGTCACATCCTCCAATCTCCTTCTACGTATAAGCCCAAGCAGCGAACCTATCCCCTGCAGTCTGAATCTCAATCCCCTCAACAGTCAAACAGCCACTTCCCGTAAAAGTGCTCGTCGTCGCCTTGAGAACCGCCTCCTTCGTAACCGGGACATTCCTCGCTGTAGGGCAAGCCCAAAGTCCCGGGCTTGCGTTCTCCGGGGACCACATAAGTATCGTGACAGGCATCTTGCACTCTGATATGACATGTGCGCGTTGGAAGCCGCCCATTTGTGAGCCCGGGGGTCGAAGGGCGGAGTGTGCAGGTGGATAGGATATGATCCCATCGGGGGCGACGAAGATGAATTGACCGCCTGGAACTGCGGCCTGATGTCGTGAGCATGGGTTAGGTGAGTGGCTATGTGACCTACTGCGAGACCAGTCATGTTTCCATCGACTTGAGTTGAAGTGCCATCGGGACACTCAGTAGCGTTGTCAAGACCGCAGAATGTACTGGGCTTTGTAGCGCCAATGATGAAGGCTTTGTTCCTTGCATTGATAATGCGCGCGTGTATCTGTGGGAGCGAAGGTGCGTAGACGGAGAGAGTGTAGTAGGCGTTCACCGCGACGATGATAAGGAGAAATAGAGCGAGGAGTCTCATGGTAGCGAACTACACAAGGCGCATTTACGTGTTGACATGGAATGCGGGAAGCTGGCAACTTGAATGCTATAAGATGATGATGTTGGGCATGGGTTGTCTTGGCAAATGCGGATAGATTGGACGAGATGAAGGTAAATTGAGAAATGGAGGAAGGCTCGAACCTTTTCTACTCGATGCCTTCTTATCTCGGTTACATCTCGCGGAGATGCCTCGAAGAAGAGATGATCAAAATGCACCAAAAATAATTCTTAGCATTTAAATCTCTGCTGTTGTATTGTAGAACTCCAGAGTAATGTTGCGTTCGACTCTTCGTCTCCTCCTCCACGTGCAGAGCTGAGCCTTCTTCAGATCAAGGCCGTGGCGATCGTTAATACAACCCTCCTAGGGACGTCAACAACGCGGACAGCCCTCCAGACTCTCCCAGGACCCTGAACACATGTACACCTCAACTCGTCATCTGGAACCTCAACAGAGATGCGATAAGTTCGTGTCGACGTTCCCCAGATCTAATGACGCGGCCCGATGATGCTTCGTCAAGGACAATGCAGGGCCGAAGTGGCAAGACGGTAAGACCGAGAACACACTTGCTCGCGTTGACCATCATTCGTGATCACTCCCCCAAGACCATGTACTCGGATCGCAGGACCATGCCAGCTGAAGATGGCCACAGCAGGTAACAGTAACATCTTGCATTGTAACCAAGAAAAATAACTCATGCATCATATCTATTGCTTCCCAGCCTTACCCTTTATTCTATTAACAAGCCCCAACAGCTTCGCCTTCAAACCTGTGCTCTGCGCCTCGTCGGCGCCCACAAATCTCCTAACTAAAATATTGTACAATCCTCCAAATGCTAGCGCGATCGCTGTCGATGTAAAGATAATAACGTTGTATGGCATACTGAAATCAGGTGTGGGTAGGTATAGCAGCAATGTCGTAGTGCGGATATTGAGAACCTTGGGCTCTAATGTTGTGATAACAGCGGCGGCGACGTCGAAACCTCTGTTGGCATCGGGAGGATACTCGGTGTACCGCAAGATGGACTTTTCGAAATCGTATGTCAGGAAAACAGTGCAGTGTGGCGGAATGCGCATGAGAAGTTCAAGCTGTGTACCCCTTGCGCGGTCGAGTGCGGGACGGTAGTAGATCTCCTTGATCAGATCGCTCGAGTTCGACGAGGGCGAATCGGCAATGCGGGCCGAGAGGGTGTGAAGATAGATACGCATGAACCATGGTAGCGACTCCATGTAGACGAACTCAACATCGGTGTCACTGGGGTTGCTCAGGATGGCCTGTACACCACCGTGTTCCTGGCCGTGACCGTTGAAGCTGCGATCAGCGTAGAGAAGAGGTGTCTCAGGCTTATTAAGGATCTTGTCCTCGTCTTGTGACTCGGGCTTGACGAGCATGAGAGTGAGTTCGGCATTTGTATCAAGACTATAGCAGCGAGTGTTTTGGGATCGGATCTCGCGGGCACCTTCGGTGGTGTAGATGTCGCGGGACTGGGGGATCTGAACACAGACTGGAGGAACATCGGGGTCGGTGAGAGGGCATGTACCCTTCATGGGGCGACCGAAGACTTGAGATAGAGTCCAATCTTGGCCGTCGAGACTGTCGGCGGGGTAGCATGCGTGATCAGAGTGGTAGGATTTGGAGGTATCGCAGAGCAGCTCGTGGGCAGGAGGGGGTCGTGGAATCGGGTTGTCTAGAATTGTTAGAGGGGTCATCCAATAGTCTCAATGTACATACTTTGAGGCCTCTTGGATCGATTGACATCGAGAACCATATCAACAGTCTCCTCCATCTCCAAGAAGCACTCTCCATTTGCATTGCACTTGGGCCGAACATCAATTGCCATGCTCTGATAAGAGGCATCGAATAGCTTATGACCATCCAGGAGTGTAGCAATACCAGCCTTGCCCTTGCAGGGCAACAACTTCAAGAAAGGTGTCAGGTTCTCGGTACAGACAACTTCATGCGGCAGAACGCCATGAAGGAGTCTCATGTTCGCAAGTGACGAGTTCGAGTGGTCGCCATCGGGCTGGAAAGACATAACAGGTCGAATCGTCCTCGTCTCATCGATAAAGTTCAAACTGGCGCAGAACAATCCAGACAGAGCGTTTGTCAGCGTTAGCCACTTCTCATCAGCCTCTTCATCAGTCTCAGCATCCAACCACGCCCAGAGTTCAACACCAGTGCCTCCCTCGCGTGTTCCATCCCACGGTCTAGCACCCCACGATTGAGCATCCCATCGTCCGAGCGTAAACCGTAAATGTAGCTCTCGTGTCCCGGCATACTGAAGAATCTGCGCTAGAGATCGAGGAAACAGTCGAAAGTTATGCGCTTCGAAATCGGCAATCGAGGTATTGGCTCGGAAGTTGAAGCTCGCTAGAAGCTGGGACAGGGGTAAAGGTCGAAGCGTCAATTGCTCGTGATAACCTGATGCGGCTGCAGAAGTGAGTGCAAAGCCATTTGTTATGGCCAGTAACAGATAGGCCAAAAAGTGGCGCATCTTGAAAGAAAAAGGTGAAGGGGTGAGGAAGTCGATCAACACTTCACATGGCACCTTTGCCCTTGAGAGATCGATTTGGTGTCGTAGCTTGGAGAGCTATTGCGACGTGGAGGATTCGATGCAGTAAGCGGTGAAGCATGGCAGAAACTTAGCTTCCCGGCGCGTTCCTCCACATGCCGTCGCATCTTCAATCTTGAGGCCCCGCCAACTTTCAACATCTTCAAACGACTTATTCACAATGGCCGCTGAACAGAGAAAGCTGCTCGAGCAGCTGATGGGCGCATCCTCGACATCAAGAGCCGCTCAACTATCACTCACCGACCCCAAAGTTTGCCGATCCTACCTCGCAGGCACCTGTCCGCACGATCTCTTCACAAACACAAAGCAGGATATTGGACCGTGTCCGAAGGTGCACAATGAAGGGTTGAAAGCCGAGTACGACGGCCTATCAGATCGGGAGAAGCAAAAATATGGATTCGAGTACGATTATATGCGCGATCTGCAAAAGTACATCGATGATTGTAATCGCCGAATCGATGCTGCGCAGAGACGATTAGAGAAGACACCTGATGAGATTCGCCAGACCAACGTTTTGGTACGCCCATTTTCCTTATTCTGCGGTGTGAGATGCTAACCTATGTAGCTCAAATCTATTTCCGACCTTTCAGCTTCCATCAACAACGGCCTCCTCGAAGTTGAAATCCTAGGCTCCATGGGCGAGGTATCACGCGCCCAAGACGAGCTCTTCCGTGTCCGTCAAGCCTCGCAATCCAAATCCGACCGCGAAAAGGAACTCAAAGCCCTCTCCGATACATCTGGTCCCTCAGGCCACCAGAAGCTGCAAGTCTGTGATGTTTGCGGCGCCTACCTTAGTCGACTCGACAATGACAGACGTCTCGCCGATCACTTTTATGGAAAGATGCACCTGGGATATGCACAGATGAGGAAGACGTACGATGCTTTTCCCAAGGAGATGAAGGGCCGATCGAGGGCACCCATGGATGATGATGGGCCTGGAGGACCCCGAGGACCTCGAGGTTCAGGATACAGGAGCGGCCGCGGTGGAAGGGGATACCGTGGAGGATGGTAATCAATGTTCAATGCTTTATTGGGATGTTCAGGCGTTTGGCGCTGTCTATAAAATGGAGGGAAACAAGAATGAAAGAGTTGGCGGAGAGCAGGATAATACCCTTTCTAGAAAAGCAGCTCAGCGCCAAAAGGCAAATAGAAATGAGGAGAATTCTTTCAATCTCGCTTCGACCTTCGATACTTTCTAACAATGCAACCTATGGTATTTTTCCAACTCCACTTTCAAACTATCCCTACTGTCCCATCTCTTTTATTTTGTTCATGACTTCTTGTTCAGTTCATCATACTCATCCATCTCTTCGTCCCACTTTCCACCAGTGGGTGGTGGCAGTGGTGGTGGAGGCCCAGCTGCCGCTGCCGCAAAGGCCGGCTTATCGTTCGCTGGTGCGGGTGCGTTCTTCTTAACCTCACCAGGTAGAGCTGGGAAGTCTTCGGCTGCTGGGACAGCTTGTTTGACGGGTGCTGGTGGTGCGCCTTCATGGCCGCCGCGTCCGCCTCGGCCTCCTCGGCCTCCACGGCCACGTCCTCTACCCCTTCCGCCGCGATGTCGCTCGTCCAAGAAGCGATCCACGTCATGTTCCTCGTTATCCTTCGAAGCGTACCGACTTCCACCAAGACCGGAGCTTCTCGATCCTCGAATACCACCATTTGCGCCGCGGAAACGTCTGTTTTCCTCCTCTTCGAGAGCATCCTTGCCTTCATCCCATCCACCCTCCTTCATACCCATGGCTTTGAGCTTTCGCTCTCGATTCTTAGCACGTTCGTCGTCAAGCCTGCGCTTGTCCTCTTCGCCACGCTTACGTCGCTCAGCTTCCTCAGCGCGGCGCTTCTTAGCCTCCTCCATGCCGCGAGCATACGCCGCAGCATGATCCTTCTCATCCTTTTCGGCCTTCTCAAACTTGCGCGCCTTCTCTGCGTTGAGAAGCTTCATTTTCTCCATCTTGGCAGCGAGTTCTTCGTCCGTGAGCTTCTGTCGCGGGTTTGCGCCAGATTGAAGACGAGCTGCAGAATTGGCGGCGGTATTTTGCGAACCATGGTTGTTCTTCTCGCGAGGAGCCGTTGGGGCATTAGGAGGTGCGTTGGATGTCGGTTGAGGAGCTTGCTTTGCGGGTTTGGGGGGAGCTGGCTTATCGGCATATCGTGACGAAGAGAGGCCAGCAGGTTTTGAGGCGGGGGCCGATGGTGCGGGAGCTGGCGCTGGCTTCTCTTGAGGAGTGGTTGGCTCCTGGACCGGTGCTACAGGTGCAGGCTGGGGCTCCGGTACGGCTTCAGTGGTGATGACGGTCTCGCTCTCGACAGGTTCGAAGTCATCGTAGAAGAGGTCATCGTCGGTACGTCCTCCAAATTGGTCATCCATGGTTGGCAACGGTGGCGTTTTGCAAAGAACTTGAAACAAGACGAAAAATGATAATCAAAATAATGCAATTGGATACGTATAATATAGGCGCAGTTGTCCAAGAAAAAGCCAAATGGAGATCTGTAAAGTTTAAGAGGGATGAAGTTCGCGCAACAACATAGTTACCCCGCGGAATCAAGATGGTCACAATGTGGGGGAGGTTCAGTGGGTGATAAGTGGAGCTGGTGGAAAGACATGCACGGTTAATTGTTGGAGCGCTCCGGTTATGATGTTTTACTGAGAGTTTGGACCCCTAGTTAGATGATTTGCTTGAATTTGAGGATATTATAAGGTTTATTGAGCCCATGAAGACCTCTATAGTATCCGAGTACAGCACCGACCAGAAGACCAATGTTAAACTCATTGGTTACAATTATGTATCTTATCCCGCCAACATATTGGCATAGGGTAGTCTACTCGTGGTGAAACATCGGTTCCCATCACTGTTAGTGTGACTGTAAATGGGATGAAAGGTTGGTGATGTGAAAGAAGAAAATAGTGGCGCGATATCTGTGAATATTTATTACGATGGAGAAGTTGAGGTTAGATGAAGGGACGTATGCGTTCTGGAGGCTTGGTGGACAAAGAACAAATCATGACTAGCAAGAAGAAAAAAACTAAAAGGATATATTTGCAAACATAGGACATTATCTAAAAGCAAAAAAGAAATTGGCTATGAGACTGATTTCGTGTTAATCGAATATCTGAAGCAAATGATTTTCTTTATTCCTTCGGCTGATCTTCCTTCTCAGTGGCGACCGGGCGCATCTGTTCTTCGACAATTGCTCTCCGCTTGTGATATGCTTGTCTGAGCGCTTCGATAGATCATCCAGGGAAGTGATACTGGGAAATGTTGTGTCAGTACTCTAGTGAGTGGGCTGGGTAAGTCAAACAATAACTTACGCTGATATCTCTCCATGAATTCCCCCCTCTCTTCAGCTCGATGAGCCGCTTCATTTCGTCTTGGTTCCAAAACTTGTAGCCCGGGTAGCTGTTCTACATAGAACGACGTTGTCAGCGGTGAATACATAGCTACAGGCGACCTGGGTACTTACCGTCTCAGCCTCCGGTATGGAGAGGGCTGCCCTGGGAGTTGACGGAAGTGAAGCAGAGAATGATCTTGTAGTCACCAGGGCTTGCTGTCCAGGCTCGGACACATCCTGGGTCGAACTGGTTTCCAGCCATGGTCGACAACCAGGGCTCTCTGGTAAGGGTGTTCTGCCTTTCTCTAAAGCCCGTACTTGCCAGGACTTCATAGCATTGGGAGACGTTTCGTTGTTGATCCCAGACATGATTTGTACAAGAAAATGATCAGGACAGTGATGTTGCTGCTCTTGTAGAAAGCAATGTTAAGGTCTGGCATAAAAAGAAACTAATATACTAAGAGATAAAATGATTATATATACTGGATAATCTTGGCGAATTCGCAAGTGAATGCTGTGGGCACCGACAAAAGACAGTGAATGAAGTATCTTCATTGTTCTATCGAAAGCCGGCGACCAGTCACTGCCAGGATAAACATCTGCCAAGGCAGCTACATCTGTCCATAATAAAGTATTGAGGTGAAGAAAACTGGTTCAAAGAGAAGTGAATGACTGGTTATGGTTATATAAGGCAAGGCATTGTGAATGATTGCAGTCTATTGTGTTGGAAATGAATATGCCCTCCATTTCGAACAGCGCTGTCTCCAATCGGGTATTTGAATTTGAGAACTTCAACTACCGCCGATACTTGTATTAAGAGTGACTGAGTAGCTAAGGGTCTTGCTGAGGATTCCTCTGTCATAGTTAGATGAGCTTTTGATAAGAGGATTTGAGGGAACCACCGACCTATCCCATTTCAAGACACAATGTCAGGTCCCTCGTTAGACTAATCAGGGGACGAAGTGTCAAAATCGACATCAATCCTCAGCCATGGGCGATGGCCCGGTGCGTCGGGAAGGGGAGTTCGGCCAAGTTCAAGAGCCTTTCGTTGCCATGGTTTGATACGGTCAGACATTGAGAGAGTTGATGTGGGTTGAGAGTGCATATATCTGAAGAGGGTAAGTACTGTTCTTTATATTTATTCTCAGAAAATTTTGAGCCAAAGTTAATGACTAAGTTTGATGGTGGAAAAGTATAGAAAGGCTTTTGTGACGAGGAAAGTTTTAGATCTCACTAAGCTATCTCGTAAACTGCTACGAAATCAGATTCTGACTGTAACTTAAGGTAAATCTTTTATCCTTTTGTTGCCGTTCCGACAAGAAACTGTTTTTCTTGAATTAGAGGTGCATATTCCTTGCTTGCTAACCCTGCGTTTGGTCATGGAGCTGTGACTCTCCGCCCCTGTTGATGTGCTGAGTGAGTCAAGCTTATCATTTCTGATAAAACGCATGATACTGGGCGTGGCACAAATGGAAAGAGCATGTTTAAAACCACAGGAGTCAATGTTTTTGGTTATAGTTCAGGCAAAAAGTATAGGCTCGAATAACTATGGTTCTGACAAATCGTGCGGCACTTGGTGAAGATTTACCTATACCTGATGCCTGAAAAGTTTCGTGAAGCGGGTCCACGCGAAAGACTATCGCATAAACGAATCATCTATGAATCTGCGTTTCATTGTGAGCTCGAGGCATCGAATCTGGCCATAGAGAGCCGCGATATCCTGGTGGGCAATCTGGGTATCTTCGAAGTTTGGGAAACAGCCTTGTCAGACTAGGGCAACATTGATATATAGCTAGAAAAGACACAGTATCGGCGCAACTGATATAGTGTTGTGACTCGAAATATCTTTCGATGAAAGACTGATTTATGTTGTTGCTATCGTTGTGGCCGTTGTATTTCTGTATATACTAGGCCGAGGACTTGGTCTGATTCTTTTCTGCTGACCCTTCGCCGGATCTCTCCTCCCCGATCTTTTGTTCCACTGCATGTCTTCGCTTGTGGAAGGTTTGCTTAAGCGCCTCAATAGTGCGGTTAGGAAAGGTTTGCTATGGAATTGTTAGTACTTAGGAATGAAACATCTATGGGAGATTAGAAACAAAACTGACCGCAATGGCGCTCCATTTAGCGCCGCCAGATCTCATTTCTATCAGCCGACGCACTTCAGACTCCTCCCAGAAACGGTATAACGGGGCTCTACTCTCCTGAGAATTGGTTTAGTGTTTTAAGATTACTCGTAGGGTGCTGTTACTTACGTTGGCTTCGACTAGAGCTGTCGTTGGTACAGCATCTTGCACGTGATTGTGGTCTTGGGAAGCGCCTGACACCTCCAAAGTTGTAGAACGATGCTCAGATAGTTGCAAGGGGAGCCATGGTCTTTGGCCCGGGCCTTCTGGCAGAGGCGTTCGCCCACGCTTGAGGGCCTTTTCGTGCCAGGGCTTCATATTGCAGTCTTTGCGGTTGCCAAGTCTTCAAGTGTTTATGGGTTATAGATGTAGAGAAATTTAGGATGGTTTGAGAAACAGGTAGAGGTAGGGGAACAAGAAAAATAAAGAAGATGCCAGTGGCAGCAAGCTGTGCAGTTGCTGGCATTGCTCTACAGTGCCAATACATTGCCCATTGAAAGCAATGATAATAGACTTCAGCCCCTGATTCGATCCTTAAGTAGTAGGATAGATCAATTGTATATGCCCAGGTGTACTATCTCAACTATAGTGATTTTAAGCATAAAACCGATTAGTGAGTCTTGAAGTTGGTGTTAATGTTGCGAAATAGAAGATTGAAATCCTTTCTGGTGTAGGAACTGAAGGATCCCTCAATACCCTGGGGAGTCTGATCTTCTGCAAGCCATCAGTTCTCAGAGCCTGATTCTATAGTATAAACTAGTTGGTCACGGCCATTCCAGAGCTTATCGTCAAGTGCCTGGTCTGAGGCGAGAGAGAAATCAACAAGGACGCATATTAATATGCATATATGAACCTTTGCAACTTGACAAATTTCAAGAATAAAAAGAAAATGGATCTGAAAGCATAGTAAAGATAAAACATAACGTTTCTAGGACCTTGTAGTATTTTCGTAGGACATCGTAATTGTAGAAGGAAGATGAGGGCCATGGCAAGGATCATCTCCATTACCCCTAGATTGTAATCTTCAATCACTGATTGTCTTCTTCAGCGTTATCTGCAATATGAGAAGGATCAGCAGGACTGGCCGCTAATGCCTCTTTCTTCATTTGTAGCTCAGTAGCAAACCGACGCTTGCGGTATGTCTGCTTGACTCCTTGAAGAGTCCGTCCTGGGAATTGTGCCTACAACTGAGGTTAGTTACGTTCGAGATACTTTAGTTTAAATACTTACAGTGATAGCGGCCCAGGATTTCCCGCTGTTTCTTAGCTGAATGAGACGTCTCATCTCACTCTCCGTCCACCAGCGCTGGTTCGGTATGGCAACCTGTTACTGATGTTAGCTGATGTTTAGTTTTAACAATGACTTGGTGATGTTCGTCAAAGTCTCGTCGAAGCTTCGTGTTTTGGGGCCACTGACATTTGTTAGAGCTGTTAAGGGAGCGACAGATATCTCGGTATCTGGTGAAAGGTTTAGCCAGGGCCTTTCTCCTGGACTTTCAGGCAGAGGCGTACGTCCATTCTCGAGAGCTCGTTTCTGCCAAGGCCAAAGCTGGACAGAAGTACTCTTGCTGTTCTCAGGCATGCTTAAGACTTACAAACGTAACTATGTTGGTTTAGTATGCGATAGAGAACCGGGTTCTGTGCAGTGCTTCGAAGAAACATAGACGCCATTGTGAATTTAAATGCGCAACTTAGTAGAATTGGTGTTCTATTGTTCACACCAGAGAACAAGCTGTGATAATATCGTCAGTATGCTCTTGCTGAGTGACTGAACATGAGCTGAACAGACATAGTTCAGTTGAGGTTGGCTCATTTCACACACAAAGAACAAACGTTGTCAATGAATACTGTGAGAACAAAGAGAAGTAAAATCCAAGATCACAAAGGATCGAACCCCAGGATAGATACCATGCTTTCTTTCTGGGCCAGGTGTTTTGCACGGGTTAGTCGATTCGATCCCACAGTCGTAAGTGTTCTCCGTAGTCCTCGGATACTGAATGAAAATGGTAAGCAAAAGAACAGTAGAGGAATGTATTAGGTCTTTGGTGAGGTAGACCAAGTTTCATATAAGGATGGACCTACCGTAATGTGACTCTTCACTGAAACTTAGTCATCTAAATGCAAGTAAGATTATAAACTCAGGCAAGGTCATGATGAGTTAATGTGAACAGGAGAAACTTCGCTAGAGTTCTAGTAATTTATGAAGATAACAACGGTAAATTTCTGGCTGGATAGCTACCTAAGCGCCTTGCTCAATGCGGTCAGACCTTCCCATCGACGCCGTTCTCAAAGCCTCATGTTTGGCTACATGACCACGGTGTCATGCAGGCTGTAACTACTTGAAAGGATTCACGTTTTCTTTCTTCAGGCCGCTGGCATCTAGCTGGGACGAATCCTTACCCTCCTTATCCTTGGTGCCTTTCTTTGGCAACGTTCGCGTCTCCGTCTCCGCCATCTCCGCCGCCGCCTCGGCCTCCGCTCGGGCTCGGATTCGCCGTTGAGCTAGTTCGTGTAGACTCGGCTGTCTCTGCTGAGGTTGAGACTGACGCTGTTGAGGAAGTCGCGGTTGAAGGGTTTGGGAGGGTCCGGGAGACCCTCGTTGCCGGGATAGGAAGCCCCCTCGAACAACTGGTTTCTTGACTAGTGGCTGCATTGCAACGGGTCGAACTGGAAGCCTTTTTGAGCTCGAGGCTGCGGTTATAGGCTCTAAGGCAGGAGGTTGAGGGCCCATGCTGGAGGGCGTGCTCTTCATATCTGGAGATGGCTGCTTGGACCCAGCCTCTGCAGTGAGTAAAATCTGAGGGAGAGGTTCGCTATGCCCGTATGGGGGCTTTTGCTTCTGCAATCCTGAAACTCCGGTACAACGATGTTATCAAGCCACTTCTTGATGGGCAACTTCCAACTGTCGTCATTGTCGTCGTTGTTGAGGGTCGGAAGGTCTTCAGGACCAGCTCCCCCCTTGAGTCTGAAGAGGGTGATACATGCCCATTGCAGATCCATCATTTCACGAAACATTTGAGCGTATTCTTCTGATGGTAGGGTGACTTTGAAGAGATGCCCACTCTGGACCAATTCGCCGGTCGGAAGAAACGCTTGAACATTGCCCGTCCCATCGCTAAGAGGTGATGGCTGCCCGGCTGCATCAAATGCATTGATGTCTGAGACCAGTTTGGCGACATGGGTATCATCACCTTCGAGCTGAACATCATCCCGAGGGTACCTCTTGTTCTCATCACGACCACCTGGCCCGAGTCTATCAGTAACTCTTGGCATCCAGTGCCATTGCAGAGTGACTTGATGGGCTGGGTCTTTAGCTCTCGCGTCGACGGGCTTGAAACCCCAGAATGCCATCCCCCACCATCTGTGGAGTTGCATGTTCAGATTAACCAGGTTCCAGGACTTATCAGAACCACCAACTCGCTTTGGGTTGGCTATAATGCCAAGGTACTTTTGGAAAAAGTCAGGAGACATGAGAACTTTGGTTGCACCAAACATGATTTCCGTTTCTCTGGCATTTTCCTCGGAGCTGTTAAATGAGTATGGCAAAATATGACATACATCGGGGTCAGATGTTCGCATAACGATGCATGCCTGGCCATCGCGATGGAAACATTCATCTCGCTCGTTGCCAGTCCTCTTCTTAGCTTTCTTCTTTTTCGGAAGACTTCCATCGGTGTGAGGACGGCCGCTACTGGCCCTAGAGCTGTCGACAGCCTTCTTGAAAAGGTTCGTTTGGTCCTCCTGCATAAACCTGTGAACAAAGTGCCAGGTATTATTCAGCGTGTTGAGCAATGAAGAAGCGGGAATTGGCCCTGAATCACTTGACTGAGTCTCAGTCACAAGCTCAGATGATAAATTACCCTCAGGCTGAAGTGCGGCCAAGGGCGCTACCAGTATAACGGCCAGATGAGCCAGCGTCATTTTGTAGTTCGGATCCGATTCCAGTCTGATCTTGTTTCGAATATTGATGGCGTACTGCCGCCGAGTCTCTGCATCTGAAAGGATCGAATTTGGGTTTTGCCAAGGGTGTTGTGTGAATCGTCGGACAACGTCGTCAAAGTGACTGGTTGAGCGGTCATTGAGGTCGACAAGACCTGTAAGAGATCTTTTCACCCGATCACTCTTAGACTCTGCCATGGTGAGTGATTTGATAGATGTGTGAGGAAATGGAAAAAGAAATTGAGATTGTGAGATGGGTGGGTAGTAGATAGGTAGGTAGGGTGGGTTGATTATGGACCAAGAGTCTGGGTGCCAGGTCCTTGCCAGGTCCCTGCCAGCTGCCTGCCAGCTGCCTCAAAACGTTTATAAAGTTAATAAAATTATCGCTGCTGAAAGGAAAAGGACTGATCTCTATAAGCAAGAGTGATCTGTCCTGTTTCTCTCAAGGTTGCGAGTAGAGCATCACTGGCCTCTTATATATCCAAGATGTACGTACTCTTGATGTGAATGTCCTTTGCCGATTGCAAAGCTCTGTAGGCTGCCATGAATTGTTCATTTTCTGCTAAATACAAACAAGAATGAGGTTCTTTATAGGCAACTATGGCCCAGAGATCAAGCAAACTCAGTAGATGTAAGTAAATACTTGGCTCAATTCTAGACAAAATAGTCATGATGTGTTTGGGCAACATAAATAAAGTCGCCCGACATAGATTTGCCTGTCCTCGCAAATTAGGCAAAGTCCTACAAGATGTGAAAGAGTCAATATGATCCATAAGTTCCGCAAGAACAAAAAAATATCAAGAGCCATCATTCGTGACCATCTTCTAGTGCCAATATGATAGCATCTCGCAGTTCGTTTCCTGTGCTCACTAATGTTGCCCCGAATCTTTTGCAAACCGCTTCAACATTCCCTTTCTTCCTGTAGCCATCCTGGACACAAACGATAACTCTTTTTGACTTTGACTTGACCGCTAGGCCAAGCTCCATAAGACTGATCGGGGCATCTGTCGAAGGGTGGAACATGAAAACAATGATGTCTGCAACCTCTTGCATATCAAGCTCCCACCAAACCTGTTCCTCCCACCGCTTGTCTGAGAAATCCTCCTTCCATGTGATATCCCAATCTGGTCTGCATGGGTTCAGAATTGCAACTCGGTGCTTCGTCAAGTCGTTTGTCAGAACTTCTCGCCAGTCAGGCTCGCCGGTACTCGTTGTAATTCCCGCGAGGAAAATGGAAATGCTATTGTCGCCCGGATCAGGCTTGCGTGGAGCCATGAAGATTTTAGCGTATCGTTCCATGTTTGGGTTTGAACGAAAGCTATGCGCTTGCTTTTGCGTTGACAGTAGGCTATGAGTGCAGTGTTGAATGAAGAGAATTTGTAGATGCATACTTCCCCGCATTGAAGTGCTGGATAGCAATAGGCAATCTGGCTAGTGATTGGCCATACAAGTTTGCAAGCCATCCACAAGTATTCACGAAATAGCTTTGACATTCGACTCTTAGTTTAGTGAGAGTGTGGTCTTCGTTGCTTCGCGTAACAGCATTTGATTGTGCGTCTTAAATCAGCACAGAGAACAAAGTTAGTGGCCTAAACGCAACTCATTGTGGGCTAGAAGTGTTATTTGCAGTTGAGATTTGTGGCTGTGAGCTTATTCCAGCAGAGAGAACCTAGTTCAGAATACAGTCAGGACTAAAACCACATAGTTAGTAGCATAATTACTTGGACCTCGGTGCTCATCCCATATGCAGGATTTTTTATATTTCATTAAAGCTAATATGAACGCAGCTCTTAGCTTTTATGTATTGCCGAAATCCACCGTTCTGAAGGGTTAACTTACAAAGTTACACAAATTTTATTCAATCATATTGGCGCACCCACCATATATTACGTATCCACTTCGTTGTTTCGCTCTAATTTCTTCTCTACTCCACGTCTTTTTGTTCCCCAACTTGTTCGGGCAAATTTTGCTAATTCGACTATGGAGCTATCACCTCATTGCGCATTCAAGACACCAGATCATCTTCTGTGCATATATGAGCTGGAAAAACGACAGGAAGCAGCAATCCAGCTCGAGAGCTATATCGAACGAGAGGTGTCAGATTTTCGCCTTCGCGCAGAAGATGTTTCAACTATTTTGATGGCACCTATTGAGCATTTTGAGCCTGGCAATGTGTTTTCAGTGCATCGTTTCGCACGCAACGGCATTACACACTATCCGACCCTAGGATTATATATGAAACGGTATCTTGATGGTATTGCATCATTGTGCAAGCACTGTAAGTAAATTGCCGATATTTCCGCAATTAAGCCAATGAGCTGACATGCATGTTTTAGACCTAGTCCATCAGGGCGAAGAAAACACCATCGATCCAAAGACAGGACAATCGGTAATCCGGATATCAAAACCATCGCCAGAGCTTCAAGATCACGTTCCAGCGAAGTCAGGGACTTCGGAATCTGATAGCGAACCGGACCCTGATATGAATTTTACCTGGGACACGCCCACTTTCAGAACTAATCTCAAACTCGATGATCATGTTCGCGACAGAGAAGAAGAAGCTAAATGCCTGGAACGCGACGGCAAAGCCTGTGTTGTGCTTGGCACAGAAAATCCAATGGTCAGCCACATCATTCCATATACCTGGAACGACACCAAGGAGCATAACAACACGACTGGAGATATCAAGATGCGCGCCCCTGGCTTATTCAGACTTAATATCAACGGTGCCGCTAGTTACGTCTGCAATCCACACGAGCTGGGTGGCACTGATAAAGTATGGAACATGATGTGCCTTCATCCCAAGTTGCACAAGCTGTGGGCTAAAGGCTACTGCGCATTTAAGCACATCTGCACCAAGCATTGCGATGAGAACAAATCAAAAGTCACCTTGCAGTTCCGATGGATGCCGCAAATCAAGAAGCGTCTTGGTCAAGAGATAGACGTCTATGGCACCGGCCCAGGAAGTGACTGGCAACAGTGGATCGAAGAGCTCAATACGTTCCATGATCAAGGTAATCCACCCCCGGCTCCCTGCCAAGAAGCACTTCGACATCTCACCAAGTCCGGGGATCCTCTACTCTCAGGACACCTCATTCATATACACATGCCAACAGACGACACAAAACGCTTCGGAGAGGTTATCGACATTCAGTGGGCATGTATCCTGTTCACTGCGTTAGTTGGCGCCGCAGGCAATCCAGAATTGCTTTCGATGGACTCAGGTGATAAGGCTATGCAGTGGATTCAGAGCCAGGCTAGGTGGGCTGATGAACATGAATATGAATCTGACTGAAGACTTTGGGTATCAAGAAAGCTTTGGCCTAGCTGTCACTGAAATCTCGAGAGATAGATGAGTATGGAAATACTTTTGGGCTACTTTTACCAAGAAAAAGAGAAGTTAATTGCTTCCACGTCATCATCAACATCACTCATTTATTCATCAATCTAATACTTCGAAGGGAACCGAGGGCTTTGCCTGTCGGGACACCCATGAGGATCGTGCGTAGAAGAAACCTTTACATGTCCGTTCCAAAAGTTTCCAACCCTCCTCAGCCACAAGTCTAGCCACTATCAAGGCAGAAACAGGAATATAAAAGTTCCAATTGAATGGTATGAATCCATCATCAACCACTTGTAAGACTCTATGGCGATGACAATGGGAGACAAGCCTGAAAGCTACTCCTACCAAGACTCAGAACCCCTACTCATGATATGATGATCGGACTCTCTTCTTGCGGTCTTCGTGCACTAAATGAATGAGATTTTTCGACTGGCCAGACCCACGCAATCGTACCTCCCAGCCCGGTTGTGCGACATGATGTGGCTTCAAGTTAGCCGCCACGGTTACATGATACAAATTCTTCAGCCGCTTTGACTGGAGGAGTTCACGTATGTTCCTGACAAAAGCCTCATAGTCTGGAATGCCGATCTTCCTGACCTCAAACTGCTCAACTGAGGTTGGAAGCATAAGCTCAAAGTCAAGCTTTGACGGACTGGGAGTAGGAACGGAAGGTCCTGGCGGCATCGCCGAATGATGAAGCTCCACACTCAAGGAGAACCTCTTGAGACGAGTCAAGTTCTGGAGTGATCCAATGTTGTTTGCAGCCCATGTGTGCTCCTGTACCTCCCTTCCACCGGCCAGCCCGTCCGTCCATCGTCTGGATGCCTTGATCTGAATGTCAAGACTTTCCAAGGCGTGGCAGTGCTGGATCCAGTCGCCGAAGCGGTAGTTGAAGGGATCACACGTCCTTGACAGCATTGTTCTGACCTTGAGGTCCAGGAAGCGGAGACTCTCGCAGACCAACAGCAGATTTCGCAAGCTACCGGGTGTGATCCATGAAAAGTCGGCTTCAAGCCTTTCTAGTCGTTTGCAAGCATTCTTTGGCATTTCCAAGTCCCCGCTGCTGGCTTTAGCGACAAAAGCCATGTCGTGAATGGCCACTGTTTTGAGGAACGGTAGCTGGAACAGAATCAAGCTCGGCTGGATGCATGTTGGTAGACCGCTGGGACTAAGCTTGAAGTCGATTCTTGTCAACCATGGGAATCGCCTTGGCTGCCCGTTCAGGCTCTTGTGTACCATTTCCGTCAAGGTTTTCATGTCGTAGTTCAGACCGATAGTGAGCCTGTTGAGATTGGGCAGTCTCTTCATCCAGAAGGCTGTTGCCTGGTCGTAGTATTGCTGCCGGCCATGTTCAGTTTTGAGCCAACCCAGGAAACGGGCACTCCATGAACATGGGAGCCATATGTAATCTCGAAAGTGCGGGTGTAGCAAGGAATCAACCACTTCCGCATCGTAAGGGCAATACAGCTCTCGAACCAGACGACATAGATGAGGATTTTGGCCAAGTGTTAGAAGACAGTTCGATGATCGTGCGTCAATGCATCGATACAAGACTCTTCGAGCAAGGCTTTCGAGTCGTCTGGATACCAACGAGGCGTTATAGAGAGTTCTCCTTGCTTCTTTGGTGGACACTGAATCGGGGTCATCACTATCCTGTAGCAGGGACAGGATATTAAAGAGGATCTCATCAGGAAGCCATAACGCTGCTGTTGGCTCCGGTTCACTCATGATCAGGATGACTGCAGAGCCTAGAATGGAAGAGACAAAGCATGGGAAAACAAGAGGGAAAGAGGACGAGAAAAATGCAGGAGGGCAAACAAAGAAAATATGTGTGAGGAGACTATGGCAAGCCACAGGCAAGACAGGTATGTTGATCCGAGATCTGCACACTGTGGTGATATATCTGAGGAGCTGTCCTGCAGGTCTCAGTAGGAACTTCCAAGAAGTCGAAGCACTGGTAATTTCTTACAATTCCTTCATAGCACTCAATTCTTCAATTATGACCTTAATAATTCCAGGATAAACTCTCTTTAAGCCTTTAATAATAAAGATCCATCGCGTGCGAATTCGACCATCACCCAACAACCAGACTCAGACAAAACGCCATACATCCGCGCACAACACCCGTTATCCAATCACCAAGAGCGAGATAGCCTATCAACACGTCTTTACCGCTTGCATGGTAACACAGGCGTTGGCTTGGCATCGAGTGTGGCTTTTTGTAAGATTGATCGTCTGCGCTAGACAAGGATGTCGATGGTAGAGATACTGACCTTGCAACGGAGAGTTTTTGTGTCAGTACTCCGGAGGGCTTCTTGTTTTGAGATTTCCGGGCTGGTGGTAATTGCATGTGGTGAGACTCGGGGCTAGTAGTCATTGGCAGTCGATCCGTATAGATGATCTCCGCGCTCGAGAACTTCAATCTCGTCACCGACTTGAACATACAGATTTTCAACGCTGTCCTCAGCCCGCTGCAAGCCTGCATTCTCTGGCACACAGTGCATGCCAAGGTACCCCAGAGCCCTTGGGTTTCCATCCTCGACCGTTCGATGCTTGACAAGCGTCGAGCTAGGCTGCGCATTCCCTCTCGTTCTGCCACCATCCGGTTTGTCGGTGTCGAACTTACCAGTGAGAGGATCCACGTTCGGCAATGTGCAGCGCGATGTCCGGCAAACGACAGAGAGTGAAGGGGAAGCTGCATCCTGTTGTGTTGGCACAATGCGATATCGTTTCCATGTTTCTTCGTCAAACGCTGGAGCACCTGTGATCCAAATATTTGCGCGGAAGCGAAGCGCATTGAGAGGCTGGTTTTCTTTGGGGAGAAGGGCGGAAACGGCGTGGACGGAGGCGAGATTGTTCACGTTCACGGGTTGTTGGTCTGTGTAACCGTGAACAGCCGGTTTGCCAATGCGCTCCAACGGTGCGAGGTTCTTCTCTGTTGGCACGAGAGTGTTTGGTGTGCAGCGCAAAAGTGTAAGATTTTGATGATCGGGGATGTTGAGGAAGCGCTTGAGTTTGGGGAGTGCGTCGGCAATTGATGGTGCTAATCCCATATCCAGGCCCTCTGCTTCTCGTGAATGAATGGCGAATTTCTTCATCGTGATTCCATAATTTTTGAGATAGCTTCCACCAGGAGACAGCGGCACAACAGCGGAAACTGTCTTTTGGTGAGAAAAAAGCAGCGCTTTGAGCTGGTCAAGCAGACTCAAAGGATCTGGGTCTGGGAACTTGAAGACGAGACATCCCACTGGATCGAACGAAGATTGCGCATCGCGACCTTCAGGTCTTAGCCACAATTCGGTCTTTATCTGCGACATGAGCGGTTTAGTCCGCTGACTGATGAATCGCCATATTGGACCTCCTTCTGATTCTGCCCGATTGACTTCCATCGCCAGAGCAAAGCAACGGTCCCAGACGAAGCCACTCTTGATGAGCTGCGCTCGGTTCAATTCGACCGGCGCGCAAGATTTGATGGGATGCACGAAGATCGCTTTGACACGGATTGGGCCACTGCTTTCGCTCTTCTCGGGAAGGTCATATTTGGAATCGGTTTGGTCATTCATGTTACTTGAAGACACGCCTTCTCGTCGAAGATTGCGAACCTCTTTTGGCGTTGAAGAGCCATTTTGAAGCCAAATGGTGATGAGACTGCCCAACAAGACAGCGACTGAGATGGCAATCGATGTTGGCGTCAGTTGATTGACACTCTCTGTGAGATTCCCTATGAATAATCTGTCCATTATTTCACATACACAAACCTTTTTGCAAATTTCGTGAGTTACAAAGGATTGTGAGTGAAAGAAGTTTGTGAAGAACCCCTCCCTTCCTCACAAAGCTTGAGAGCGCTGTGAATCCCCGACGACTGACACTAAATGGGGGTGCTAAAACAGGCCCACCCACATCCTTTACAGCGGGGCAATGATGAGGAATCATCTTCACTGATCTAGGCTTACAGCAACAAATACTCGGTAGACTAGAGGCAATTGAACATCCAGGTTTGTGTACGTTTAGCTTTATGATTCCATGTCTATTGTGCCATTGGCTATTTGTTAAGAGATGTCTAAATTCACTAACCCAAAACCTCCAACATGAGAAAACCAGAACACCACATTTATGCGAGAAAACATATACAATCATAACTTCAATCAATCATCCCAGCCCCTTCATCATTTACAGGATCAACAGAGATCCAAACAAGCCCGATAAAATAACCATGCCCAAGCTTGCGGCAATCTTGAGAGCATCAGACTGAGCCGCACCGGTAGACGCAGCGTCATCTGAGCCGGTGCTGGAGCTGCTTCCAGTCTCCTCAGAGTCATCACTCTCGGTCGTCTGAGGCTTGAAGGGCTTGACAGCGCGTGTGCTTCGAGAAGAACCAGCCTCCTCGGTCTCAGTGTCGGAGGGTACCCCAGAGTCAGTGACCAGCACTTCCCCATCGGTCTTGGTAGCCTTTGACTTGCGTCGGGCGCCTGTAGCAGAAGGCTCGTCTCCAGCGGGCTTGTCAGCCTCAGCCGCACCTGTGTTGTCGGGCGCAGCGTTCCCAGCAGGAGAAGCACCGGGCTTCGACTCTTCAGCAGGCTTGGGCTTGTCCCCAGCATCGCCACCAGTCCCCTCAGCAGGTGTGTCCTCCGCAGGCTTAGCAGGCTTCTGAATTGCGGGAGGCGCGGGAGGAGCTGTAGTAGGAACCTGAAGCTTGCCATCCGAGACTTGGCTGACAGGGGCGGCAGTAATGATAGGGATCTCCATATCATCGCAAGGCGTCGTGCGGACCTGAACCTGTCCATCGCCAATCTGACACATGGGTACAGCAATAGTAGTAGGAACCTCCTTTGTCGTGCCATCAGAAACGACAGTTACAACAGTAGTTGCGACAACACTGCTTCCCACGATTCTCTTCTTGGGGGCGGACTTGGCATTCTTACTCTTGCCACAGGGCATGACGCCAAACTCAACAGGCTCACACTGCTCAGCCCAGTTGCGGTCGTAGAGGTTGTAGAAGTCGCCGGATTGGCATTGCCAGAAGATTGCGGAGGATCCGAAGGCGAGGGTCCCGTTGGAACAGACTGAGAAACCGGATGTGTAGATTGCGCCAGCTTGAACGGGCTTGTCGAATTGGAACTGGTAGCTTTCCGATATGTAACCAGTTCGTCCTTGAGCATCCTTGAGAACGCCATCGTTGAGGTTCAAGACTAGAACGCCTTCACCATTGCATGATCGCTATTGCCTGTTAGTCAAGGGTCTCATTTGAGAGTATGATCTTGCTTACCTCGGTGACATCGCGCTTCTCATTGCCAGGCTTGAAGATTGTGACTTCAAATTGACCATCATATGAAGTGGTGCAGCCCTTGGGAGCCTTGCCCTTGGGTGCAATATCTTCTGTGACCGCTTGGGGAATGGCGAAGGCTGTGGCTGCCAGAGCCAGGAGAGCCAGTGATGTTCTCATCTTGGAGGTGAATTATGTGATGAAAGGAATACGGAAGACTTTGGCTCTCGAGATAGACGAAAGATGTCTTTGTTCTGTCTGGTTGGTGGTGATGATGAGTCTCTTCAATCGGGAGAAGCAGCCTGCTTGATATACATGGCGTCGTACTCCACTCATTCTGCCTGGAACGCTATAACAAAGAGGTTGCGCATCTTTGTATCGATACTGCATTATTCACACGTCAACCCGTGTGGCTGGGAAGTCCAGATTTACGGTGTTCAATAATGCGATAACCATTAAAACCCTTTGTCGGCAGTGTTACATACCAGCTGCTCAGCTTTTCAGCGCCATGCTGTGGCGGAAAGGCACTAGTAAAGCAGGGAGAGTCGCATCGTCTGGGCCTCGTTCACGAACGTGGTTGGAAAGCTGCTGAGTACAGTGCTGAAACGCGCTAAGATAAAGAGAAAAACTTTACGCGCTGGAATTTTGGTGTATCGATTTGAATGGCAGCGTGTTTGAGGAAGGCGAGATGAGTTGACTGGAATGTATAAGGGGTTAGACGAGCTCAATGTCTCACTTTGAGATGGGCCCAGGGATCGAAGCAATTGTGCCTGCTAGTACCATAGGGAAGTTCAAAGTGTAATATTCCATTATTTCCTTTCAGTTTGGAATTAATTGACTTCTTGAAATGGCCTTCTTCTACATATTATAGCGCATTGCCATGAGACTCGGCGAACACCCTGCCTATTCATCTTCTTGTTGAGTCTTACACCAGCATCGCAACGTAATACGAGCAAAAAAATTGATGTTTAAGCAAATATCGAGTTTCATTTGCAGTAAGATAAATTTTTGTCGTCAGTCTGGGCGTGGTAGCTGCCGAATATCGAATTGGACAGCGTGATGACTCTCGATCATCAGGGGAGACGCAAGGGAGTGACCCTGAGACATGATCGACCCTTGCACCAAGGGCCAGCAAGGCTCCTAATGATCCGGTGATCTTACAGGATACTCGAGAAATGTGGCTGGCAGTAGATTAGAACATTTGAACTGGCCCAGAAAATTGGAAAGCTGAAGATTCGGGACTATGTGCGGTTATACCCTTGGTTCATCCGTAACACAAACTAGAAACGGCTACGACGTGCCGCTGAGTTCTCTGCCAACTCTTAGAGTGCTGCCAGCTTGCATGGTAGGTCATTTGTTTCACTCTGCTACGATCAGGCGGAAGAGATTCTCAGAGTCAAGCCTCTGTCCAACATCTGATGTGTGACAAAGAGTTTAGCTGTGTGACGAACTAACCCCCATCACTCTTCACTCAGCTCCACGATCGCCCTCCAGTATCTAATCCAAAGCTCTCATCAGCAGCTGGGGATCTGTTTGGTGAGGCGAATGAGCCGTATCAAGCTCAAAAACAGGGACAGGTCGGCCTCCGTTCTCTTCCAGTCGTGAGATGAACTGCCTCTGAGCCGCTTCGGGAACAAGCACATCCTTCTTAGTCAGGATATAACTGGATGGAATCAGTTTATGGAAGCCATCGTATGTCTGCTCATCGCCGAAGACCCTAGAGGCCTGAGAAATCTTGGAAACGTCCTGGGCTAATGGCAAGCTTTCCCCCTGTGTGAGATCGCTGTAGAAGCACATGGCTGTTTCTTCATCGCATACAAGGTAATCACCCTGCGTAGTGACAATTAGTTCACACAAAATCACATATCAAAGTCTTACGAACCTCGCGGCGGGGATAGCGACCAGGGTTCGCTTCATATAGCCCCCTAGGTTCTCTCTGCTGGAAT